AGCAGACTTATAAGTCCACTAGTCTTGCTTAGCAAAATGAAAAGTGCGGTTGGCAAACATATAAGTTCACATAGTCAACTTATAAGTGAACTTATATCTTGCACAATTGCCTAAAGCAAAGAACAGTCCCAAAAGACATCCTCGCTAAGCGTATTGGCGTCACATCACAAAAAGCGATCCTTCTGCGGCAGCTTGGTGGAAAAACAAACAACGACCCATGCGGCACACATACGAAAACGACTGAAAAGAACTTGGGTCTACGCAAGTCTCTTAACCACTTTTCCCTTCTTGAAGGTCGAGCGCACCTTGGCTTTCTGAGGCTGCTTTTCTGTGTTTCGTTTGGTGCGATTGCCGTTTCAATGCTTCGTGCTCCTACTTCCAAAGAAGAACTCACCTTTCCAACTTCCATGTGGGCAGGACCCTGGGACGGGTTCTTCTGCGCACGTGTCGTTTGTATCGTTCGACCCCTGGAATTGCATGACCTTCAACCGAGTCTCAACCACTCTTCAGCCAGTAGTACTCATCAGGTACTCCAGTGGGTGTGAAACATGGTGCACTACAGGACCCTCAGTGGTAGAAGTGCGACTTGCACCCTCAATACTCGAAGTCCGGGGTTCTGCGTTCACTCGCCGAGGCTTGGCCCTGACGACAAAAGCTGAATCATCAGGTGCTTCAGTCTCAGGCTCTTCATAGTCGCCTTCCTCTTAACCATACCACTCTTCCTCCCAGTCACCCTCTTCATCCTCAATCTCGCGAACTTCCCCTCCCTGCCCTTTCCACGGCCTTTTCCACGACCCTTGCCGCGACCTTTGCCCTTGGGCTTTGGAAGTCATTGGGCTTCTTCTCAGGGAACTTCTCCCAGCAGTCACTCGCACTATGTCCTGACTTGCCACAATGCTTGCATTTCGGTGGCTTGGGACGATTCGAGGCTAAATGACCTGGCTCTCCACACTTAAAACACGGACGTCCTCTCAAAGCATTTGCTCGCTCAAAAGGCCGTGTGGCTCTGCTCCGAGCATAGTATTCAGTGCTTCCCGCAACAACTGTGCAACCGTGCCAGCTCCTACAGCCAACTGACAGTGCTCCGCCACTTTCTCTGGAAGGTGTCAAGGTACAAAAGAAACTGGTCTCCATCAACAATGCGAAGGTCATTCAACTGCCTTGCAATGAGTGAAGCTTCCAACATATTGTGGAAGACAGAAATCTCAGTCTCAACTTCTCGCAGGTTGTCCACAATTGTCTCCACTGTGGGCTTCTTCACTGAAAAATGTAAAACTAACTCACGGTAGTGCAAAGCTTCTGTTCTGGTCATCAAGGAAAACTCTCTGCGAACAAGACGCAGCAGTTCATAACCATTGGCTTCATGAACCCCTCTTGCAGCAATCTGGTGTTTGATCCTGTTCTCAACTTTCGCATAGCCAGAACAATTAAAAAATAAACTGTTGGACCAAGTAAACAAAAACGATGACTCCTCAACTGTTGGTCAGCATTGTTGGTCCTTGAAGAAGCGCTCGCACTCATGATTTGGTTCCTAGATTATTTAGGGTAACTTAACCTTTAATAGCGATGGCCTCCACCTGGTAGCTTCTTGTTACTAGTAGTATTGGCCTCCAACCTAATTGCGATGGCCTCCACTTAGTAGCTTCTTGCTACTAGTAGCAGTATGAATTTTGGTTCCAGTATATGACATGTTCGCGCGACCCTGAAAAGAAAGGCACAATGTTGCCAAGGTGAGTCAGTTAGTGGACGGTCCGGCGGATGGCTTGGTAGACCAAAGAACCAAGGCCTCAAAAGTTCATTCTTCTAAAACGTTCAACCCCTTCAGCCGCTACATCGAAAACGGCTCATCCAAGGAGCTGAGCTGAGGCAGAACCCCGCGTGTGGCCGTCCTGCACCAAGGTAGAGATCTTTTGAAGACCGCTCTGCCCCCCGAACCTAGAAGCGGCCTCAAACCTAGACCTAGTAGCGATTGTCTCACAAATGCAGGGAGATCGCGGGGGGGGTCCATATATCCGCCGACCCCGCTGCCGGGGGAGCACGCCAAAGGACACTGCCCTGTCGGCTCATCGAGATGGTTTTCGGTGTGGTGTCACAGTTAGATCGGCTTGTCGAGACGGTTGCCCAACCTGTGCGTTTTTTGGCCGGCACACGGAGATCTGGGACTAGACTTCTACTGCCCTCAGGGAAGCAACCTCGAAGGCGAGTGTCCGCCATATACGAATCCCACAGTGTCTAACGCCCCGGCCACCTACCAAACATGTCTTCCAATCATGCTCCCCAAACGTTATAGACAACATCCGACCTTCTCCTCGACTTGCTCCTTTCTCTGACGGTTCCCGTTCACGAGCACTCTCCGCTTTTGTGTCAGTCTTCGCCGGCTCCATTACGATATCAACTTTTTGCCGCGTTTCTGACCCTTTGCCTCCTTTGTGGATTCTTCCGCTAAGCATGTGCCTGCCGCGTGTGTCTCCCCACTTCAAAGAAATCCAAAACACATTCCTTCGGTACAACCTCCCGCATTCCATCCAATCACATGCCTTCTACCGCATGTTCCTCTGCTGGGGTCCGCAGCAAGGGGCGTATATCCGGATGACGATACATCTTCGTTGGCCAGTTCCAATCACGCCGCTCTTCAAGATAGGACCCGCAACAGAACGAACATACTGACTCTACGATATCCGGCCTGTTTTTGCACGGCCCCTTTGCCAAAAGTAGATATCACTCTCTCCCCACCTGCCGCTCCCAAGGTGGTTCTGGATTGAAGGCCTCAAAACAAACGAGACTGTGCTGATCAGTCTCTGAAATGATCAAGTTTCACTCTTTACAAAGGAATTGGTATGAATTGGTTAATCATATGATATCATATGGAAAGCTAGAGGTAGAGTTCCCCATGTTCTAGTAAACCGGTTGCTGTGGATGAATGCTGGTGTGTTTGGTTAATGATGCTTTAAAAGTGTTGTTCGATGTCCTACATTTCCCTTTGTTTCATGTCAAGCTCACACCTGTACACCTGTTCAACCAAAGCTGGAATTTGGCCCACCAATGAAACAACGTGTGCTCTTTATTGGGACGGACTCTGTTTTTCCATTGTTTTTCCGTGTCGTGTCCTAATTCCAGGTTTTTCCACGAAATCAGGGGTAGTTGTTGATCACATTTGATCACCTAACCTCCAAATTGCAGAGGAAAACACCGAACAGGTTGCCTTGTTGGTTGGACTGTAGTGTTGGGGGGGTTGGCTTGGGGCTGACTTGGCCCAAGGACGAAAAAAACAAAGTCTGTTCTGAGATTCTGTGCCGTACATGTCAATTCCATCCGCAAAGCCGAAGCAAAGGTTTCAGCACGAAAAGGCTAGACACAAGCTGTTGGCCAGTTCCAATCACGCCGCTCTTCAAGATAGGACCCGCAACAAAACGAACATACTGACTCCACGATATCCGGCCTGTTTTTGCACGGCCCCTTTACCAAAAGTAGATATCACTCTCTCCCCACCTTCTGCTCCCAAGGTGGTTCTGGATTGAAGGCCTCAAAACAAACGAGACTGTGCTGATCAGTCTCTGAAATGATCAAGTTTCACTCTTTACGAAGGAATTGGTATGAATTGGTTATATAATCATATGATATCATATGGAAAGCTAGAGGTAGAGCTCCCCATGTTCTAGTAAGCCATCAACGATTCCCCTAGTTTGAGGCTCCGCTCATTGTGCTTTAACCCGTGCAACGCCAACATCCGATCCAGCGGGATGATTGACGGAAACGTGTGATATGATTGCTTCTAGGCCCTCGGCCTGGTCGCTGGACGAAAAGTTGCTACTGGAGGCCTTTCGAACTTCGAAGCAAATTGTTTCTAATAGCTTCTTGTTACTACTAGTAAGGCACTTCTTACTAGAAGCGATGCACTTGTTCCTAGTAGCTTATTGTTCCTAGAGCTACCTCCAAATTGAGTTACAAAAAAACTGATACAGTAGCTATGGCCTCCATCCTAATAGCAATGGCCTCGAACGATGGCCTCCAACCTACTAGCTTACCAGCCATGGTCGACCGCATGTTCTGTTTAACATTCGCAAACACCGATTCCTCATTATTGTGCCATGTTGTGCCTGTGGAAAAGAGGCGAAGCGGGCGCAAAACTCTCACCAAGGACACGCCCTGGAGGAGCTCAACATGGCTCGACATCGACAACTTTCTCCGTCATCGCCTGGCTGATCTTGTTGCGCTTGTAAGGGGTCACAGATGCTTCCGCAGTCCGCTGGGCTACGGGTAGCTGCGGCTCCCAGGGTGGTAGTGGCAGGGACGGATCAACCTCAAAAGGTGCGACAAAACATGCACAGCTTGGCAATATGCATCGATACCGCAAAACAGAAACCTTCACGAGCGCTCTCCTAGCTATTGAGGCTGTGATAGTTTGATCCTCGATTTAAGTTTGTACCAAGTGATTGGAACAACAAGCAGCCACATGTCATACAAGTCATACGAGGTCTAACCACCCACATTTGCTTCAAGATCTATATCCATTCCGTCCATCGCTAGCAGGTTGGAGGCCGGTTGGAGGCCATCGCTAGGTTGGAGGCCATCGCTAACTCAAAAAAATATTGTTGTATATTTGTTCCCAGTAGTAAGGCCAGGGGCCCCTAGTAGCTTCTTGTTCCTAGTAGTAAGGCCAGGAGCCCCTAGTAGCTTCTTGTTCCTAGTAGTAAGGCCAGGAGCCCCTAGTAGCTTCTTGTTCCTAGTAGTAAGGCCAGGAGCCCCTAGTAGCTTCTTGCTCCTAGTAGTAAGGCCAGGAGCCCCTAGTAGCTTCTTGTTCCTAGTAGTGATGCCAGGAGCCCCTAGTAGCTTCTTGTTCCTAGTAGTGATGCCAGGAGCCCCTAGTTCCTGGTAGTAAGGCCAGGAGCCCCTAGTAGCTTCGTGTTCCTAGTAGTATGGCTAGGAGCCCCTAGTAGCTTCTTGTTCCTAGTAGTATGGCCAGGAGCCC